CAGGAGGGCGAGTTCCTCCTGCTTGTTCCCCATGCTACGGGCATTAGTGTAGAGGCATTTCAGGCCTCCAGTAGATGTGTATACTGACCCCCTAGTCCCAGCATTCCCCTGGTCCCCATCTCTTACCTGTTTATCTGCTACGCTTGTCGGTCTGGGCTGGGCTGTAGTTGTGGGCGCCGTTTGGTCTGGTAGTCTGATGTATCCTCCGCCCTCATCTTCCCCCCTTCCCCCGACAAGCCTAGTTTAAAGCCCGCCGGAGTAGGTCCGCCAACCTAAAAGAGAACACACGCTTACCTTTAGGGGAAAGGTGGAGCCCGTCCCATCCTAGCATGTCTCTCGTCGTGATGTGGTGGTTGTGATCAAGGAAGCCGAAACCAGCCTCGAAACACCATTCCCGTAGTCGCCAGTTGGTCTCTGCAATGCATGATTCGTGCCGTCTGCCCCGTCCGCTCACTGGAAGGATGGAAGAGAAGACCACCTGTGTGCCCATCTCCCTCAGCACGCCCCCCAGAGCTTGGTAGTCCTCCATCAGACGATCGGGGCTCCTCCTGGCCGCATCATTAGTGCCCACATGGACTAGGACCATGGGGTAATAATCGGTGGGCTGGATTACGGTGTTTCTAACTTCTGCAGTCTGGGTTGCTATCACAGTCTATTTAAGGGCTGAAGTTTTAACCATGTTCCCAAATGACATCAGTAAAAATCTGCCACTGGCTTCAAGGAGAGTAAAGAGCAGGTTCCTATTCTGGCTTGCCTTCCTCATGGGAGTAGTTGTATGGAGGTCAGTTGAGGTGAAAGAACCTGGTAGGGTCAATACAGCCCCCGCTCGGCTCACAAGGTCTGCCTGCCACTGATGGTGGAAATGATCTTGGGAAAGTCAGTCAATTTTCAAATTTCCATATGTGCCCACAAACACCAGGCCTAGATCCTGACGGTCATGAACAGCATCTCTCACCCATCTAGCACTAGATGTAGAGAGATCCAGCTCACACCTAAAATTAATTGAGTTTGAAAATGTAGCTCTTTCCTTCTCTGTCTTGGTAGATCTCTCCCTACATCACTGAGACTGAAATGCATTTGTAAAGAACTTTCCAATTCTTTGAATGAAAAGACATGTTCAGGTTGTAACTTTTTTTTAACACATCCCAGTAATGAGTATATAGGATGGAATGTGAGAACTTTTTCTTCATTTGGAAAGAAATACTTACAAAGTAATGCCTTTTACTCTTCCGTCTGCCCCTAGCTGTTGAAGGGTTAGCATCATAATTAGTTAATTTGCCTGATGATTATTGGCTGCTGCTTTGAAGTGTTGTAGGTGGATGAACTGCTCTTGTTTTTTGCCAAGATGAACAGCCTGCTCCAAAAATTTTCCATCCTTTTTATCAATATAGACTTCTTTCCATGTATGAAATTAAGTGGAAGAAGTCTAGAAGTCAGAGATATCAGGAGATTTCGTAATGCTTTTGCTTCAATAATAAGAAGTATATTTGGGTTCCAACAAGCTTGGATGTTACTGTTAATAACAACCTAATACTTGGGTGCTGCTATTAATAATAACCCAGTGAATGAATATGGGTGAAAAATTAGCAACATAACACATACAAGTAATAGCATATTAACTTACAGAGCTTATTACCTTGCTAAATATGGCCTGCGGTTATATACTTTGATCACCTCTGGCTTCATTTGTGAAACAGCCCAGGACCTGTTTCATTCTCCAAGGAAAGCCAGCAGCTGCATGAAGGTGCTGGTTGTGATTTAGGAAGAGAGATGCTTCCTTCTAAGTTGAGATCTGAACCAATCACATTAACATGGTCCAGAGGGACACTGATGTTGAAGACTAT